TACGCTTAAAATTGACAAGGTAAAAAATTGCTTAGGATTATGTGGAAATTGGAGGCGGCAACGGCGAAGGTAATTTTTTTAACAGAAGGATATTTGCTTAGAAAAATTTGATAGGGCAACTGCATAACGGGAGAAATCAGAGTGATTTATATAACAGAGTGATTTATATAACAGGCAGAAGAAAGCATCTCCGACCCCATAAAGTATATATATCCTTGATCAGCATCAACAGCCGAGTCGATCTAGCCATGTCCATCTGTCTGTCCGTCTGTCCGTATGTATGAACGCAAGGATCTCAGAACCTATAAGAACTAGAGTCTTGAAATTTTAGCTGTATGCCTCCTAGTCCCCGCGCAGATCGAGTTTGTTTCCGATATGCGATAACTTTCCCCGTTTCCAAGTAATCGATAAGAATCGATATCGAAATCCTGTTTTATTTAAAAATTTTGGTAAAAAATAAGAGCTAAAGTCGCAAAACTTAAGATGTAGCCTCTAAAATAGTATATATATATGAAGTATCTTTTATTTTATAGCTGTCACCACCCCTTTACCACAAAGCTATAATTCAAGTTAATAAACCAACTTGTATTGCCCACTAATTTAAGCCACAATTAATGCAATTGATAATACATCTGAGAATACACAAATATTCTATATTCTATCCTACGATAAGATTTACTGTCGAAAATTTCATTAAGATCGATTAAGAAACACAAAAGTTATGTGCGCACGTGTTAGCAGCAGCTAGCGCAAATTCCAAGAATTTCTGTATACATGTACACACACACATTCATGCGCGTCTTCTTTGAATTCTATCAACAGCATTGCAATTGCGATTGTATTGTTTTCTATGCTGCTATTTTAATTGTTTTTTATCATTAAGACTCAATTATTTGTGTGGTTGGTGAGTAGAGGCGGCGACAAGTGGTGCGGTTAATTGCGAGTTCGAGCCCTGCCAAGGAATACATTTTTTTAAAGTCATGTTTTGCTGAAGGTTCAAAATAATTGTTGGCGGTGACACGATAGCCAACACGATATGTAGGCCATTATCATGCACATTACTACAAACTTCTTTAAAACAAGTTATACGATTAATGCAAACTTAAATGCCAGAAAAAGGTGGGATATAGGAACAGATTATATACATATAGCACGTGAAGGGAATGTAACTTAATTGAGATAATCTCAGCATCAGACATTGTATTAAAACAAACATTTTCAGAATGGAGACAGGCTTTAACGGCTATTCATTCACCACACTTTGAGACGATCGATCAATTCCCTGCACAATAAAGTTGAACGAAAAACCTTCATAGTCAGATATAGTTAAGTTTAACCATATTTCTGAGAATGCTTAAAAATTAGGCCTCTGACATTCCGATATCGAATAAAGACTAAGAAGACAAATTTAGTTTTTGTGGCAGGACCTTTGGGATCACAAATGATTGGGTACGAATTCTGAGAAACATTACTTTTAAATTTTGATATTTTACGGGTAAAAATCTAACCTAGATGACTGACAGTGCTACGTTAGTTCTTGAGTGAAGTAGGTTCTAATATGGGATCTATAGAGATTACTCTGGGGGATACAACAGGGGTGATATTAGGACAATCGCTTGGAAAGGGCGATATAAACAACATTAGGGATAAATTCAAGTTGTGAGGCACAGATAAAAGTGGTACCGGTAATTCGGTAGGGACTCAAATGTATATTTGCTAAGCAACTCAAAGCTCGAGTCGAAGTTACTCGAGAGTTGCTTAGCTACATTATTAAGTATTAAAAATTGATTTCTCACGGAATTATACATTCTGGAGAAGTCAATTTGCTTATCGATACATTTCATATTCTTACACAACTTGATGTAAGATTATTTTTTTAAATACTGAATTAGGCTTGGTATATTTTAAAAGGAAGTGTGAAGAAATATAACTTTACTTGAGATACTCCCATTATATCAGCAATTGTAACCGATAAAATTAGGGGTTCGAGCTCTGAAATAATTACCATATTTCTTGAAAGCAATGTTTCAAATATATAAATATTCTATGCATATATGCTTTATTTTTGCATTTTTTACTAAAATGTTTACTGTGTTTGTTGGTTTGTTTATTTGTTCCTGTATCTTTGTGTTAACAGTTATCTGTCTATTTTCTAAATCGATGAACTCTTTCTATATTAATTTAAGTTTATAAAAGTCGTCAAAATCTGGGGTCTCGACTAAAATTTTTAAAGCGGTGACTAGCAAATTAATGCATCTAGCATGTCGATTAAGAATATTTACTCTAGTCCAGTATCTGCAGTCGAGTATCTGCTTTATGTATGACTGAGGGAAATGATTTTTTAAATCTTCTGTCTCCTTTTTGTATGGTTCAGTACATAGGTTAGTTAGTTGCCTGTTTAAGGAGTTCTTCCAAATTTAAGCCTTTGTTCCGTCTTGAAGCAAGTTCAAAAGACGTAGCGTCTGTTGTTAACTCAAATGCTTTCTTATAATCTGTTGTATCTGGAAACATTACATTTTCAGACGGAAGAACCAAGCTTCTCGAATACCTGACACAGACTTTCGTCAGTGTTGACTGATATTTTCTATGACTCTCCGGCGTCATTTTTGCATTTTAAGATGTCTCTTTTTGGTTTTGCTATATACGCAAAGTCCTTAATATATAAATCTATAGTAACTTGCCAGTCAAAAATGACCTGACATTGAACAGTATGGTTGAAATTTCATAGTCACGAATTGCTTGAAACTTGTTAGGGCATGTTTTTATAACTCCACGTGAAACAACGATTTCCAAATAGTCGACGATTTCTTTAAAAAAAATGCGATTTTTGGCAAATAATCTACAATTAATCTAAGTCTGTCTGCAATGTGTCTAAAATGGTTATCCATTTTCTCTGAGCTCATCTCCAATGGCTCTCTATAAAATACTAGATCGTTTTTTTCAATCTAAAAAGAAGTCTGCAAAACTAATATTTTTTATTGCGTATGGAAAAAGCCGTTTTTCCTTGCCTGAATAAAGACAAATTTTAAATCAAAGGTCGTAAAATATTTGACTTGCCGAAATTTAACAGAATGGAGACTACATTGGGGTTGTTATTGGGTATCGGGATGGTCGCATTCTACCATCTTTTAACAAAGCGTATATATCTGAATTTATAAAGTCTGAGACGCCCATTGGTGGTGGATGGATGTTTTTTTTGAGGTATATATTTTCATTTTCTTTCCGGATAGTACCAATGATATATTTGTTGTATGGGAGTGCTTCATTTGGTTCTGCGAGGTCGCCCGTTCGCTTTCTTAACATCAGCTGGCATTTTCTGTTACGGCTTGGGGTTAGTTAGTTGTTAGATTCTTGTGTTTGAGGTTTAGTAAAACGTTAGTTTGCTTAAGTAATTCAAATCATTATTCCGTTAAACGTTGTAAGCTTTGGTAAAAGGAAGCATATCGTATTTATGTTAAAGAGGTTCATCACACACTTTTCGTTTGTGACATTGTAACATTGTTTGGTTTAGAGTAGTCTGTCTGAACCGAGATGAGTTGTCGATGTCCTTTGACTGAACTTCTTGTTCTTCTACATGTAAGTCTAGTGCGAAGATTAAAACAAAAAATTGGTTGAAGGAATTTTTAAACATTTTTGGTTGACACAGCACTTAATGGGTGATCGTGTTAATATATATACTAAATTGTGTCTCCTTCTAAGCATTACAAATTTCAAAGAAAAATTTAAGTATCCTCTGCACATATATTCCATACACAAACTTATTTTTTATTAACGATTATTTCTGTTTAGCCCTATGGAATAGTAGTCCGATGTTGATAAGATACAATAAATGCCGGGCTTGGTTAGGTTCAGAAGAAGAAAGTTTTTTATCTAAGAACTTAATTTTTCGACCAAGGTTCGAACTCGCAACTAACCGCACCACTTGCCGCCGCCTCTACTCAATAGCCACACCATATAAAAAAGTAAAAAAATTTCCCTCAGTAAGTCTCGAATTCGCAGCAGACAGCACTTCCTCCCGCCGCCTCTACCCAACAACCACACCAATTATTAAGTCTTAATAAGAAAAAAACAAAATAAAATAGCAGCACAGAAAACAATACAATCGTAATTGCAATGCTGTTGATAGAAATCAAAGAAGACGCGCATTAATGTGTGCATACAGAAATTCTTGCAATTTGCGCTAGCTGCCGCAAGCAAGTGGGCAGCCGAAACACATTTTCTTTTGTGTTTCTTACCCGATCTTGATGTAATTTTCATCAGTAGATCTTATTGTACTCTCAAATATTCGTGTATTCTCACAATTGCATTTAAATTGTGGCTTATTGAGCAGCATATATAAATTGGTATATTTACTTGATTTATAGCTTTGTGGTAGCGGGGAGGCGGTGATGGGATAAAATGAAAGATACTGATATATATATATATATATACTATGCTAGAAGCAACATATCAAGTTTGGTGACTCTAGCTCTTATTATATACCCAATTTGCTAAAAAACGTAATTTCGTTATTGATTTTTATCGATTACTTGGGGCAAGGGGCAAGTTATCGATTATCGGAAACAAACTCGACCTACAGCTAAAACTTCAAGTCTCTAGCTCTTATAGGTTCTCAAATCCTTGCGTTCATACATACGGACAGACGGGCATGGCTAGATCAACTTGGCCATAGATGCTGATCAAGAATATATATACTTTATGGGGTCGGAGATGCTTCCTTCTGCCTGTTACATACATTTCCACAAATACATTATACCCTTTTTACCCATTTTCAATGGGTTCAGGGTATAGTAAGAGGCACTAGTCGGGAGTTCCTGGCTGCAGCATATCCTGAACCTCCTTCTACCAACACCATATGCAGCTCTCGCTACGAGCGCGTTTGCTTTAACATAAATAAAAAGAAATATGTTTCCTCAATTAAACTAAAAAAAAAAATAAAAAAAGAGTTAAAATATCAACATATATGCACAGCACACAATACAACACAAGCGCAATTACAATGCTGTTTATCGATTTAACAATCTTTTTATTTTTTTATATGTTTTATTTTGCTTGTTATATCAGTGCCTTCTGATCTCTACCAAGCGATTAACTAAGGGAAGAATGTATAGTTACTAGTGTGTAACTTATATGATATTTACAATGAATTTATTTGCAATGATGGGGAAGGATATGTTTAAATAATAAGCCTCGAAGGTAGGTCGTCGGGGTGTAGCCTTTGGAGGCGCCTCTCTCTGATGGGGTCAGCCAGGACCCTGGCGGCCACGTTCGGCTGCTTCATCAGCTTTTCGGCGTATCGGCTGCTGCTGAAGCAGTTTAACTGATCTGCGACCTTTGTTAAGCTGAGATCGCGTTCGATGGCGTCCGTTGTCACGTTCCATAGCAGGCCGGCAACCTTGCGTATATACTACTTACTGTATATACTATACTTGACCTGTATATACCATTCTAGAAGCTAATTTGGTGACACTAGATTTTAAAAGATTTGCTAAAAAAATATGATTTAGATATCAATTTTTATCGATTACTTGGAAGTGGGGCAATTTATGGATTATCGGAAGCAAACTTGTACTACGTACCAACACAAGTCCTAGTTCTTATAGGCTCTGAAATCCTTGCGTTAATATTTACGGCGTCGGAGAGACTTCCTTCTATGTGTTACATAAATTTGCTCAAAAAATGAAACTTTTTATCCATTATCTATTATCGATGGGTTCAAAGTATAAACAGAGAGACGGATATATAGATTCCGTTGTTGATACTGTTCAGAATGGTTGGAGAAGCTTGTAGTGTATTTATACACTTATATACATAACTCAACTTGTAACACTCTGTTGCAAGTCTAAACAAATATAAATATATACAGTCAAGCGCATAGCATAAATATGATCGTATATATGTATGCACATACATACTTACAGTGCTGCGCAAATAAGTAACATGATGAGCAGGCCAAGACAGCGTGAGACCGTTGACCGACGGATAACCGCTGATCTTGCACTTTAGCCGCTCCGAGAGTGAGCGCCCTTATGAATGACTACACCCGCTCTCTCTCTCTCTCTTTGTAGCTGTTAACCGATAACAGCGTAAGTATATATGTACATACATGTATCCGTAGGCTAAGTGCATTATATTCACTTTGAATAAATTCATTATAAAGAACAATGCAAACCAGCACTGACGTGCTCTTGTCAATCAAAGTGAACTATTTATAACACTTCAAAGTGGAACATTTATGACAATACAATCAAAGTGGAATTTCATTATTACAAGCTTATTTTTTATGTTTAACACATTTATTACAAAATTATTATAGGCCTAACCATACACTCCGTTTTTATTCTACATACATTTTCTCTCCTTACATAAGCACAACTGTTGCAATAAAATCGGGCATTTGTTTGTACAAATGCATGTTATAGAAGATGGGCTTTCTTAGTTAGGTACTCTCAACTAGAGCACTCAGACTTTTCTGTTCATAACTTATTACGTTAAGTTAGCATGGTAAAAACTAATAATGTTTAAAAAGTAATGTTTTTTTTTTTCAGAATTCATTTGATGGCAGGAACAGTAAATAACAATTTGGAAAATGATCATTTTAAAACATATGTGTCTAATTTAAAAAAAGCTTCCGAAGATTTACAATTGAATAATATTGTTGGCCTCATTGAACCGATAAATAAATATGCCATTCCATTATACTTTATGGAATCCTACACAAAAGGTATGGTATTCAAACTTTGAATGGAATATTGTATTTTGTTCTGTAAATATTATGTGAATAATATAGTATAATACAAATATTCACCCCAGATAAAACAACAATTGTTGATTTTTATGGTGAGACTTTAAAAACAAATTTCATGTTCAGAGGTGAGTCTACGTCTTTAATTATTACTCGAGAATCTTACAGCTGATTTAAAAAAGCTTTTCGCTTTCTGAAAGCTAACGAATATATATCTTAATAAATCTTGCACAGTTTTACATTAAAATAATTTTTTTGCAACAAAATAATTTTGTTCTGAGAATGATTTGATTTTCTTTGCAATATTTTTATTATGATTTTTTTTTTACCTTAAAATGGCTGCATCTCTATTTATAAAACTGTTTGTCCTGACTGACTTACTGATTGCTGATCAACGCACAGCTAAAAGCGTAGCTGCTAGAAAGCTGAAATTTTCACTGTTATTACCTTCTGTGATGCAGGTGCACGTTAAGGCGGGGTTTCGTAAAATTCCACCCGCGTGTGTGGAAAATCCCTCCTTGGTGGAAAATCCTTCCTTTGGTGGGTGACGTTTCGCGCTCAAATTTATTTTTAATGATCCATATAAAAAATCATTTGAGACGTGTTTCACACTTTTCGCAGAATCCAATCTTCTTCGGTAGAAATGCGATTCTACGATTTTTTGGTGAAATTTTAAGTCGTGTCCGATTTATTAATTTTTGTCTTGTTCAAATTTATTTTCAAAGGTCTACATATGAACTTAATGAATACGTGTTTTAGCGACTGGAAATTCCACCCACAACAGTGGTTAATTAGAGAAAAACGGTTGTATGAAAGTGTTTTGCTTACCATCCGATCGTCTTCAAAATAATTTTCAAAGATCTTTGTAGAATTTATTTAATACGTTCTTGGGTGGCAAATGCGGGTTAAATGTTCAATATTCTTACCGCAAGACTAACATGGGTTTAAACTGATGGTTCCAACACTTGGTTCTTTATTCGATGCGATTAAAACATATTTTTAAATAGAAGTGGAGATCAAGATAGGTAGATTTCAATTTTTCACGAGCGTGTACTTACTGGAAAGTTGTTATCTAAAATGTTTATCACAAAACGTTCCACGGGCAAAGCCGGGCAATACCTGCTAGTCTAATATATAAATCGTTCAAATCGACGGAGAGCCAGCGAAATTACAAGATTTTAAAGGTATTTAAGTTTTTGCCAGATAGATAAACTTAAATGTGTTAAAATTATATACTGTTTTTATGCAAGTGTACGTAATAAGCAGAGAGGAGATATCTTCGACTCCATAGTATATATATTCTTGATCAGCATCAATAACCGAGTCGATCTAATGGTAAGTTGCTTAGCCCGCGTCATTTAACAATTTTGATGAAATGGTAATGATTAATTATGGTGTATTAATAAACGCATAATTAATGGGATTATGTTAATAATTTTTCTTATATTAGACTTGCCGAATATTGAACACCCTTCTAACAAAATATTTTGCCACACAAAAGCTGATTTTTTTTATAAATGCCGGGCTTGGGCAAAATGTCTTGAAAGTTGTTCACACAGAAGTGCTGCCACCAATGGCAGCTATATGATATAATTGTCTGATCCGGTCGGTTCCGTCATATGTAGCGTAACAGCAAAACCAACCTATGCAACTATCCAAGGCGAAAACTTTAAAACTGAGAGACTAGTTTAAAATGAAACAAAAAGACGGATATGGCTATATCAACTCAGCTGTTGATGCTGATCAAGAATATATGTATAGTAAGTTATGGATCTGAGACGTCTTCTTCTATGCGGTACACAATTCATGACAAAATGTAATACCAGATTTAAGGATGTTGGAAAAAAATTCGTCATATTGGGCTGCATATGTATTAGAAAACATGGTCGGTTATGCCGTCTTCCGCTTGTTTAAGCTTTATTGGGATGGATAAGCCTTTGTCTTTCTGAATATTGAATCTTGCTGTATTGTAATAATCCCATACGTGCTGATTTCCGAAAAGCTCTTACTTTTATCCCTTATGGTCTCTCAGATATAAACGTTCATTCAGATAGACAACTTCATAACATAACCTCTCACTTTAGCGACTTAACTTAGCAGCAGTCCATGACATGTGGAATGATAAATGACATATCGGAATCGTGAGAGTTCGTGTCACATTTCTTCTATATGATCAATGGTATAATATTTTAAGAATTATATTCTCATTTTCAACTTTCTATATATATATATATATATATATATATATATACTTAGAAACGGGGTAAGTTATCGGAAACAAATTAAATCTGCGCAAGCACTAGGAGGACCTACAGCTAATTTCAAGTCTCTAGCTCTTATAGGTTCTGAGATCCTTGCGTTCATACATACGGACGGACGGACGAAGGGTATAAAAACTGTATGATGTCAACGCACATGCTTACTTATGGTTTCTCCGGGTGCTAAAGTTTAAAATTAAAAAATTAGCATAAAAGAGAAAATATTTTTAAATTGCTTTAAAAATCTATTATAAAAACATTAACCTTTTTATGACATCCAGTTCAATTCCTGATATTTGAGTAGTAAGTTAATCATTGTCGAAAAACCTCCGCGATCTATTTTCATCATTTTTGTTTCCATAGCCGTGTTTGTTGAATTTAGCCCGATTTCCTCCATGAACTTCACTTGTACATCCCTTTTATTCATATTTAACTATTTTTTCGACACTTTTAGCCAAAGTATCTCTTCCAAATCTTGTTAAATTATACTTAAATACAATTATATTACAAATATCAACAATGATGTCAGAATAGCAATGCGGAGCAGGTTAGTTGCAGTTGATAATAGTTGAGGAAATAAAAAACAGTGCTTCAGAAAAACGCTCAGAGTTAAACTTGTACCAAAAAAATTAATATAAACTGTGTCTTCAAAATAAACGCAACTGTCAAACAAAGCTGATGCTCGTTGGATCAAGACGATCACAGCACTAAATTTACAATGCATAGACATATGAAACAGCAGAATAATCGAACCACGATAAATCGCAACGAGTGAGCCCAATGGTGCCTGCGACCATTTTGTTATGCCCAGAGAGAGTAAGAATGCCGAGAGTGGCAGCCCAACGCCGGCCTCGAAAGCCGAGCGTTCAGTATGAAGCCGTATCTCGTTCAGCGCACAACGTCACTGTGGCTGATGCCTTTTGCTAATATATGTATGTTAGTTTTAAATCCTTACAGCCCAAATACATATGTGTGTATGAATGTGCAGAGTTTGCCTCGGTCTCGCTCATTGCTTTTGCGCGCTTGTGTGCATCTCTTTCTCCCTGCACAGCTTCTCAAAAAACCTCGAGATCTACAAACAAACATATGTTTGTGTTGTGTGGATGTGCGGCGTTTGTCGCGAGCCAGAGATATTTTCTTCAATTGTGTGCCCCTTGTGCCTGTAGTAGCAAAAGGCACACACATTCACATGCCCTATCTTTTTGTTCTTCGTCCAGCTTCGGCATAATGAGATTTTTTTTTGTATGTTTTATTTTTTCTAATATATTTTGTTTATTTCGAAATCTGGTATCCTGTTACTCTATGTTAGCAACTTTTATCAGAGTGAAGTGACACAAGGCATAATGAATAAAAAAAACGTGTATGACCCAAATGAAATATTTATATTTTATATTCATATTTTTTGTTTACTGTTGGGACCCATTTTGATTAAAATAAAAAAAAACCAAAGTCGTATTTCTGCAAGGCATGCACACATGCCAACGTTCGGTACCCTTACCCTTACAACAAGCATGGAAAATAGAAATTTGAACATGAACAGGCCAATCCTTTTTATAATATCACACTACTGCTCCCTCGATGAGTGTGCGTGTGCACAAGTAGCAATTCGCAAAAATTGAACATTTTCAATTTTTGTTCTTTTCATAGAATTCTTCGGCAAGCCGACGATGAATTACCCTTGCAGAAATACGACTTGGCTTTTCTTTTATTTTAAGCAATATAGGTCCCTACAGTAATCGAAAATATTAGAATATAAAATATTAATATTTCATTTGGGTCATTTACGTTTTTTTAAATAAATCAGATTCTTCTCATTATGCCTGACTGGACCAAGAAATACATGATAGAGCATTTGAATGTGTGTGCATTTTGCTACCACAGGCACAAAGGGCACACAATTGAAGAAAAAATGTTTGGCTCGCGACAGAGGCCGAGATCTACATATGTATGTTTGTAGATCTCGGGGTTTTTTAAGAAGCTATGCAGGGAGAAAGAGATGCACACAAGCGCGCAAAGCAATGAGTGAGAACGAGGCAAGCTTTGCACATGCATACTCTCTCGGGGCATAACAAAATGGTCGCAGGCACCCTTGGGGCTCACTTGTTGCGATTTATTATGATTCGATTATTCTGCTGTTTGATATGTCTTTGCATTGTATGGTTTGTGATTACATTTATTTACAATCTTCGATAGCTTACCATTCATTTTTACGAAATCGATAAGTATAAAGATAGTTAGGGTTGCTACCATATTGCGTCACCTATCAAACCTAGAGTTACAAAGTTCTAAATGTAGGTTCTTGTATTTGCCTCGTGATAAATTTGTGAAAAACCAATTATGATATGGTGATATTGGATTCTTTTATATAGACATTTGTATGCTTTGCTTTCGAAAACACAGTGTATGTCACAGGGGTAAATATAAAAGTGTAGGCCTTTTCTGTCGCTAGCTTTGTCGGTTTTCTTTGCTTATATTTTTGAAGCAGTCACAGCAGATTGGCGATAAGGGCTTACAGATTTATAGTCGGCAGCAAAGTCTGTTTATGATAAAGCCAGGAGGTTCGCGAAAATGCTATACAAACAACCTGACTCTTGTTGCCTACATATTGCTGTTGTTGGGTGTGTTTGCATTAATAAATTCTTCCTCTCCATACGCTAGCATTAAATTTAATTTCCTTTACCTAATTTTAGAATAAATTTCTGATTTTTCATATTGACAGTTAAGTTTGGTTAGGTCAAGCCCCTTATGTCTATCTCATTTTTATGATGCAGTTGGCAAATCGTGAAGCTCAGTTTATATTGCTGGGACGAAGCCCGGTGCTCTTTGAAGACGTTCGGTTAAGGGATTTTGTAGGTCTACAGAAAATGGAATATGAATTTCTAAATGCTGATTGGTTTTAGAAAAGATGCCTTATTGTTTGAGTTTGTTGTGCATCGGTCAGGAAGATCTATAGAAATCCACAGAGATATGGCATGTTGATTTCTGTTACCGTCACGATCCCTAAAATGAAAAAAATGTCTGGCTTGGATCTTACAGCTGGCCCCGGGTAGAATTATATTCTCAGGTAATGATATTCTCAGGTAATGAGGGAAATGGTTCAATGTTGCTCTGAGACTCATGTAGTATATTTCCTTACTTCCTTAGCTTCACGAGAGTTCATTTTTTTCCTGAGACTCATGTAGTATATAACCTACTCCCTTAGCATCACGTCAATTGCATGAAGATATCGCTTGAACAAACCTCACGGTCGGTTAGTTGCAAATATAAATTACATTTATCTTAACATGGCAGATACTACAACGGCCAAGAAGTTTGAATGATTTGCTTAAACGTGGTTTGCTGCAGTGTAGGAAAATATATTTAGAGTAGAGTGCCCATATTGATATGCTCGCTTCACTTTATTTAGCTTAGAAAGATAAGTCTGTTTTTCGAGGGCAGGCCAGATATTAAAACTTTTAAAGAAGCTATTGAGCGCTCTGCAGTAATCACAATTGTATAACTTTGCTTTATGGCTAAACAAAGTATCTGACTAATGTCAACCCACTTTTGGTCAAAATGAGTCGATATCTTAATGCAATCATTAGCTATCAACTAAATTATTTCCCTAGCTTTCTTAAAGCAACACGGTATATAGCCCTGTCGCTTAATGTAAGTAAATGGTCTTAACAGGTTTGATGTTTGCCGTTAAGTTGGGTCAAGCGATGGCTGAGTGGGTCTCCTTTAAATAGCTTACTCAGCTTTCTCAAAGGTTCAACGTCAATAGTTGGTTAGGTACGATTAAAATTAAGTAAGTGAGACTAAAATTAATATAACATTATTTTCTTAATAAATGCTTATATTGCGAATGCTTAACTATACAAAGAAGTCTTATCCATTTATTATGTTTTCTTATTTACAGCATCAACCGTTCTGAGAGAAATAAAATCTAATAATATAAAAATTATGGTTGACCTATATCATCTTCAACATATATGCGGGAACTTCACTAAAACCTTAGAAGAATATGGGAATGTAATTGGACATTTTCAAATTGCCCAGGCACCAAATCGAAATGAGCCAGACACGCCTGGCGAACTTAATTATGACTATGTTTTTAAAACTATACAATTATTTGGCTATGATGATTGGATCGGTTGTGAATACAAACCGAAAACAACAACTGTCGAAGGATTAAATTGGATTAAGAAATATCTTTAGCTTTTGATTATAAAGAAAAATAATATACATTATTAAAAAAGTAATTGCAATGCATTAATTATTCCGGGAACTTTGGCTACCCGACCGCATGTGAATGTTAGAAAACTTTTCAAGGATGTTACGAGGTGCCCCTCAACTTTTCCGTTGAATCCCCCCTACCTCTTCCTTTTAACATGCATCTAGTGTATCCGTTGAATCCCCCCTACATCTTCCTTTTAACGGGCATCTAGTGTATCCATCGTTGCCCCTATTAGGCACCTGGACGCATCTTTTTTCGGTTCTCAACAGCTTCTTTCTCGAGTCTAGTTAATCCTGTTTCAGCTTTGTTGCTAGGTGCTGAAAGTATGGATATTGAAGCCGTTAACAACAATGTGGCTTTGATCGATCTTGATGTCTTAAACTATTTTATAGGTTTTATAGCTGACGAATGCCTGGGAGCGATATGTATAAGCAGAACATAGCTGCACGCGCAGTAACAAACTCGATCTGCGCATGGACTAGGAGGACCACAAGCTAAAATATTAGTCTCTAGCTCTTATAGGTTCTGAGATCCTTGCGTTCATACATACGGACAGACGAACGGACGGACAGACGGACGGACAGACAGACGGACATGGCTAAATCGACTCGGTTGTTGATGCTGATCCAGAATATATATACTTTATGGGGTCGGAGATGATTCCTTCTGCCTGTTACATACATTTTCACAAATACATTATACCCTTTTTACTCATTTTCAATGGGTTCAGGGTATAAAAACAAATTTATAAATGTTAGAAATATTGTAAGGGTGGTGCGCTTCTGCCGATCGCTCAGGTAGAATATATCAAAAACGAACGAATACAAATTTTGGTAGGAGCGCGATTGTCGCGCTAAATTCTTAATTTCAAAGCCTAAAATAAAATGTAGACATCACACCCCTTTTGAAGTTAGGAAATGTGCTGCTAATTATACTTATTGTAATAGCCTCAGTAGACATTCTTCTGAAGCTATATCTACTGCACAAAAAAGGCACTAAGAAAACGTAACATCAGTAGGGCTTGCGACCTTGATAAGGTCAAAGCAGAATCCATAAAGAACAATTTCCTACTAGGGGAAGTTTCACATTGGCCCCAAATAGTTGAGAGAATAAAAATGGAAAGGTAAAATTTCGAAAAATCATACAGGTGCCTTAATAAAAGCGCACCAGTTTTGCGACCGACTATAATGAAACACAATGAGATCCATTTATATGAATACAATGAAATCAGGAGTTTGCTTAAGGAAAGTCAACATAAACTCAGAAGTTTACACAGAGTCAAAACTTTAGACACTTTACAACGTCTAAGGGATAATCTGGTAATCTTAAACGAAAAATATCCTCTACAGCTTTATTTACCATCGGTATTAAAAACATCGGTAACGTTTGATCCGTTACTTTTGGCACAGCCGACGGTGGACGAAAAACTAGAATCATTTAACAAAGTAATCAAGCCCCTATAGACTTTCTAGATAAAGCTGCGAGGCAAATTCCTATTCGACGGAAAGCACGACAATCTACAGATTTTCTCGATGCGCTCGAAATAGTTGATTTGATTGATTCGAAATTATCGTCATTGATTTCCTTATGAAATACAACAGTCTGATTGACATACCCCCTCAAAATTGGTTAATAGTTAATAGGCAAATTAAGATTAAATCAACTAAACCCAATCAAGAAATAAAAAATGGTGTATTTATTGGAGCGTGTATTACAGATTCAGCAAACACTTACATACGACTTTTAAACACCATAATAAATCAACAATGATAAAATCGAAGACTTCGGAAATATTTCTTATGAGTCCCTCAGTAAATATAATATTCTAAGCCCTTTTAATGTCGAAAGACAAAATCACTGAAAGAATTTCAACAAATAACTTCTATAAACAAAAGTTGAGTCTAAAAGACATACCCATAAAAAAGAAATTAAATCTTAGGTAGTTAAATTAATACTTGGAAATATCGTTGAACCGAATACAACAGCCCACTCTTAATGATTCCCAAGAAACCTTTACTAGGTTCCACTTACAAAAGAGGGCGAATAGTAGCATATTAACGTCAGATTAATACATAAATATTGGCTGACAAGTTTCCACTTCGAAGGATAGATGATATTCTTGATCAATTACATTCCACAAGATTGAACTTCATAAAGATTCTCAAAATAGAAGAGCATTGGCTCCTATCGTTTCACGCGATTACCATACAGATAGCTCCAAACTCAATCCAGCGAATGATGAAAACAGCATTTTCAGATCTTGAATCTTCTCAAGCGTTTCTATATATGGTTTTTCCGCAAAGCACATGACTAAAAACCTTACAAACCTTAAGCTACATCCAGAGAAATGCTCATTTTCATGCACTTTTCTAGGTCACAAGTTTACTGACAAAGGTATCGTACCAGATGACAAAAAATTCCATGTCATTGAGGAATACCCAGCACCAATATGATGTATTTTTCATTTATTACAGACCTTTTATTAAACATTTCTCGGATTATTCTCGTCACTCAACATGTTTATGTAAAAAGAATGTAAAATTCGAATGGACAGCTGAATGTCAGTCAGATTTCTACTACCTAAAATGAGAATTAATTAGGCCATCATTGCTACAATAGCATGGAGGCAATACGCCACAGATGCTTACGTACTTTTCAAGCCGTACGATGGCTCCGATGGATCCGAAACAAAATTCGAGGACCAGCAAGAGCATTACTAGTTTCCCACAATACGGTACACTTTGATGCCATCATAGCTAGCTAGCCATGAAACTATACAAGCGTCCTTACTTAACGAAGAAGTTAGGGCAGACGAATTGCATGTGTTCATTTCAGATTTGAAAAAATCCCTAAAAACAATTGTTTTTCCGGCACAGCCAGAAGATTTGCCATCCGCTTTGGCTCTGGCCAGATAAGCGGAGGCCAGCATTGAGCGAAGCGCTTTCTCAGCTTCCTATGCCAAGGTTATAAGAATCGCTCGTATACCAAGCACGGCAAAGGTAATAGGGAGGAAAAGAACCCACATTTTTTTAAAAGGCAGCAAAACAATAATGCTTATGAAGAACATAGTGGGAAGGAAGGTCAAGTGGAGCCCTAAGAACCGAACGAGGTTGATTCTTCGTCTGAATATAGACAGCGCACTGATGATGGGAAATCCCAAAACAATGGTGCACAGGCCCAAAAGAGACACAACACGTCAGACCGTGCAACAGGGCCAAGACGCTAGCGTGTTAACAACATCGCTCAAAGCTTTCTTGCTGACCAAAAACAGAGCTACGATGAGACAGCGTCAAACGCTTTAGCCAGTATAGACGACGATAAGGATTCCATAGCCTACGGCTACTGTTTATTAAACGACAGTTAACTGGGAGAATTTGAAAAATTTTGATGGACACAGGCGCGGTTAAAAACTACGTTAGGCCCATAAAGGAGCTAAAAAAAGTAGTACCAGCCAATAATCCCTTCACTGTAAGCTCAGTTTATGGCTCCAGTAGAATTCAAAACAAATGTCTTTTGAAGATATTTGGTCAGGATTCTCCCTTTTTCATTCGAGACACGCTGACCTCATTTGACGCTATCATAGGCTTTGACCTGCTAACGCAGGCTGGAGTTACGTTAAGTCTGCAAGCCAGCACCTTAACATATCTAGATAGGAGAGACATATCTAGATTGGAGAGTTTAACTGTGAGAGTTTAAACTTCACTAATGTCAATGACATTGTGGTGCCCACCTCGGTCAAAAAAGAGTTTAAAGACATGATTATAAAAAGGAAAAAGGCGTTTTCGACCTCTAACGAGGCGAGCCCCTTTAATACTTCAATTGTCGCTACAATGCGAATAATAGATAATGAACCAGTCTACTCGAATTGTAACCACACCCCATGAGAGTTTCGGAGTTCGTAAGCAATGAAACTAAACTATTGCTAAACGATGGCATAATCAGGCCATCAAGGTTGCCATACAACAGCACAACAGCATCTTTATGATTCTAGCAAACTTAGGAAAGTCA